GCTCTCGTTTCTTTTCATTTGTAGTTTTTCCCAACCCAAATACACTTGATTCACCTAATCTCTCTCTCTCTCTCTCTCTCTCTCTCTCTCTCTCTTTGTCTGCCTCACTTTCTCGCTCTCTCTGTCTCTCTCTCTTTCTCTCTCTCTGTCTCTCTCTGTCTCTCTGTGTTTAGACACAGTGGACCAGCCTGTCTCTCCCTCCTCTGAAGAAGATGCTTCAGATGGCGGGGCAGATCGCAGACGGCATGGCGTACCTCAACGCCAACAAGTTCGTACACAGAGACCTGGCAGCGAGGAACTGCATGGTGGCCGAGGACTACACCGTCAAGATCGGAGGTAAAGTACCGAAGAGGGGGGGTCAGAGGTCGTGTCAGAGCGGCATTTTAATCCCCTTCAAGAGGGATGTTGACTCAACAACAACCAGCCAGAACCATCTTTATCGAGGGCTCTCGTTTCTTGTCATTTGAGTTTTTCCCCTCTGTTTTTTGTGTATACAAAAACACACATGATTCACCTCGTGTGTGTGTGTGTGTGTGTGTGTGTGTGTGTGTGTGTGTGTGTGTGTGTGTGTTGTGTGTGTGTGTGTGTGTGTGTGTGTGTGTGTGTGTGTGTGTGTGTCTCTGTCTGTCTGTCTGTCTGTCTGTCTGTCTGTCTGTCTGTCTGTCTGTCTGTCTGTCTGTCTGTCTGTCTGTGTGTGTGTAGACTTCGGCATGACGAGAGACATCTATGAGACGGATTATTACAGAAAAGGAGGTAAAGGTCTGCTTCCTGTTCGCTGGATGTCCCCAGAATCTCTGAAGGACGGAGTGTTCACCACCACCTCTGACGTCTGGTGAGCACACACACACACACACACACACACTGGAACAAACGTACATACAGGAAAACATTCCTCCCGACTGCAATAACTCTCTAACAAATCTCCTCTGGCTGGATATCTAATATCTAATATTCCATTCCTCACATACTTGTATATAATATCCTCCTTTAGATTGTGTTTACTGTAAATCTGTAATTCCACATGTATATTTTCTACTGTTTTTAATGCTATTTTATTTCCATTGAGATGTTTACATTTTGGATTGTTTATTTCTCGTCTTTTAATTTCTCTAATGTTCAATGCCTGGTCTTTTTATGCTGCTGCAACGGAAACATCTTATCTTATCTCCTCCTCTCCTTTCCTTTCCTCTCCTCTCCTCATCTCCTCCTTTCCTCTCCTCTCCTCATCTCCTCATCTCCTCATCTCCTCCTCTCCTCTCCTCTCTCCTCCTCTACTCTCTACTCATCTCCTCCTCTCCTTTCCTCCTTCTCTCCTCCTCCTCTCCTCCTCTCCTCTCCTTTCTCCTCCTCTCCTCTCTCCTTATCTCCTCCTCTCCTTTCCTTTCCTCTCCTCATCTCCTCTCTCCTCATCTTCTCCTCTCCTTTCCTTTCCTCTTCTCATCTCCTCCTCTCCTCTCTCCTCCTCTCCTCCTCTCCTCATCTCCTCCCTCCTCCTCTCCTCTCCCCTCCTCTCCTCTCTCCTCATCTCCTCCTCTCTCCTCATCTCCTCCTCTCCTCTCCTTATCTCATCCTCTCCTCATCTCCTCCCCACCTCTCCTCCTCTCCTCCTCTCCTCTCCTCCTGTCCTCTCCTCAGGTCTTTTGGAGTCGTGCTCTGGGAGGTTTCCACCCTGGCGGAGCAGCCGTATCAGGGTCTGTCCAACGAGCAGGTTCTACGCTTCGTGATGGAGGGGGGGCTGCTGGAGAAACCCCAGTGCTGTCCTGACTTGCTGTAAGACACACACACACACACACACACAGACAGACAGACAGACAGACACATTGCTTGATTGATTGATAAATACACTTTAGCTACTGTGCATATGACAATTAAGTTTTGACATATGGATGCTGAACTGTGTGTGTCTCTCTCTCTCTCTCTCTCTCTCTCTCTCTCTGCAGGTTTGAGATGATGCGGATGTGTTGGCAGTACAACCCTAAGATGCGTCCGGCCTTCGTGGAGATCATCAGCTCTCTGAAGGACGAACTGGACCCCTCCTTCATCGATTCCAGCTTCTTCTACAGCGCAGACAACAAACCGCCCGACGCCCCCTCGCCACCTCACCTGGAAAACGCCGCCATCTTGGAAGTCGTTCCTCTGGAGCCTGCTGCCTCTTCCTCTTCCTCACAGCAGACCCCCCAACAACAGACGCCACCTTCCCCGAAAACAGAGGCTCCTCCTGGGCCTTCGTTAGCTCCAAGTTCCCCTCCTTCCTCCCCTCCTTCCTCCCCTCCTTCCTCTCCACCTTGTACGTCTAGCGCCTCATTGGACAAGCAGGCAATCGGACAGCAGCAGGCGGCCAATGGGCTGTCGGGGGCGGGACTAACGGCGTCATTGGATGAACTTCCTGCGTACGCTCACATGAACGGAGGACGAAAAAACGAGCGAGCGATGCCCCTCCCCCAATCCTCCGCCTGCTGAAAAACCCTTGAAACATTTGTTTTGTTTTAATACAACGTCCACCAGCTGGAAGGTGGAGTCACTAAAGTTCACTGTACCTCTTTATCCCCCCTTTTTTCATTTTTTTGGTTTCTTCCAGCTGGCTGTCACGTGACACTGAGTGGGACAAACCAAAACAAAAAGGGGGGTAACAGAAAGGGAATTTAAAGAGGGGTTGTTTCTCCCTTCTCTCTTTATGGCTAAACTCATTTTATAAATTGTCGTTTGTTACTTTTTTTACCTGTATTTTCAAATGGCGGAGAACAAAGGCCTTTATCGATGACCGGCGTTTTTGGGCGGGCATTAACGGTGTAACTGTTGCATATCTTAATGAATAAGCACTTCAGCGTCTCCAGAGAACAAACAAACAACCACAGGGACAAAAAAAAGAAAAGGTCAAATCTGTTGCCAAATTTTTTGCCAAAATTGTACTTTTTGTAAAATTCTTTTTTCTGCAGTTTTGCTCAGAAAAAAATCTCCAACACACCAGATCAAAAACAAGCGCTTTGATTTGGTTCTAGGCGATATTAAAACCAGTGGTCCCAGGGGTAATTCACACGCCTAAAGACTATTTGTTTATCAATTACGCACCTGTGTTACCTTGGAGTTCATTCGTTTCTTTGCACACCTCCACGGTGAACGACGAGTAAACAATGTTTGTTATTTCTTGATAGATTGTAGTAAAATTTGGCGGCAAAACATCTGTTTCTTACACAACTCATGCACTATTTTCTAAGTCTTTATGTTAAACCCTTATGCATAAACAGCCTTACGTTTCAAACAAATCAAATAAATCATCCATGTGTTTAATGACCAAACAAATGGATATATTGTTACAAAATATATATTTGAATAGTTTTTCTCCTATCTAGTCAGAAGCAAATTACAACTTATCTCCTGCTTGTTTTGTACAACGCATTATTCTATGTAGACACTACAAAATTACACAGTTTAACATAAATATAGACTAATATAACTGAGTTTCTACATTTATAAACCGATGTTTGGATGTACTTTGCTGTCGTTAGATACCGCCCCCGTTTACTTCAATTTATCAAGAATTTTCACCAATTTTGATACATTTTTTAACCATAAAAGCAAGTTAAGAAAAATGCAATCTAATTCAAGAATTCAAAATAACAAAGGGTGATAGATTGATACCCGAATGATCACGTTGTGGGTGAATTGTCCTTAACTTCCCTCTACAGTCCTTCGCTGCTCCTCTACTGCGGTTTGCCCCGGAGAGGATGAGGGCCACGTGTTCATTTTCCTTTCTGACCAAAAGGGATTTTTTTTTTTGCTTTGAAGACAGAATTTGTTTCAGAAAACTAAATAACATATTCAGAAATATCTCAGATTTTTGAGAAAAAAGTTAGTTTTTTTTTAATGTGACAATTCACGGAAAATAAATTCAGATTTTGAGAAGGAAATTTTTTTTCGGTAAAAATTCTAAATTTGAGAAAGAAATCAAGATTTCTGAGACATTTTTTTCAACATCAAATCAGAAAAGCAGCGAAATAAAATGCATCCTTAAAGCTCGGACTGTGGATGGAAGCTCGTAGAGAAGAAATCGGATCTGAACTCAAACTAAAAACGTCTCTTGATCAAAGTTTTGTATAAAAACCAGACTACTATGGAGCATCTGTGCAGGCGCTTTCGTTTCGTGTCACTTTTGTACGTTTTTCTACGGTTGGAGTTCATTCGTCATGTACAGAAAGAAGCTGCTATTTCTCTTGTGGTTGTAATATATCTATATATATATATATAAGAAGAGAAAACACTCCTTCAGGTCAGATCGACGAACGTTTCCTCGACACTCTTTTTTTCATGTGTTTCTGAGCTGGATTTCATTTCTGTGTTTGCGGTACGACAGATTTTCTCTCATCTGACTGAGTTCAAAGAGGAGAGTTCAATATTCTTCTCCGTTTTGGTCTGCTGTCAGCCTCAGAGTATTTCACCCTCGTGCGTGCGAGTTTGTTATCTGACGGTTATTTTAGTGTTTTGATCGGATCTGCGTCTCACTTTTACCACTGGATCCCGCAGAGTTGACTTAAAATCCAACATGTTTGTTTATTTTCCATCTTGTTTTGTGTTGTGTCGATGGCCAATGTGTGTCCATATTTTGATAAGTTATTCACAGCCTTCCAGATGTGTTAGATTGATTTTTGGGTTTTTATTTTTCGTACGTAAGCTGTTCTAAGGTTATGTTTTTGTTCCTGTTATCAATATATTCTGATGAGAGCGTACTGGGAAACACTGATTGGCTGAAGGAAAAAGAGAATGTGTTTTTTCTCTTGTTCTTTTTTTTTCTACACAAGATTTAAGATGAATAAAAATGTATGCAAACTGCTCGTCTTTGTTGGGAAGTGTGTGTTATTGCTGCGGCATATTTTAAACATATCACAGCTGGTAAATAAGGGGCTATTTCTTTAAAACGTTATATGTATATATATACTGCTTCTAAATGGTTTGAAGGGATGATTTAAGTTGATCTAAAACCTATTATAACACATACATTTTTTATTGCTTTTATTTTGTATTATTAATACAGATCTGTAAATAGAGTTTTATCAAAAAACAGGTAGCCTAGTAGAGTTAAGTGTACGATATTGGCCTATAAATTATAGTGGAGACAAATCTTTAAGTAGTAGGACATGTAAAAAGTTAGAAAACGTACAACAACAACAACACATTGTAATGTAAAGAGTACATGTACTTTTAACCGCTGCAGTTTAATTGTGTACCACCAGATGGCAGCAGTGAAACACCAGCAGGGTTTTATCCACAGTGATTTTGAAGGAGAAGAAGAAGACGCCGAGCGTAACCTGGGTGACGTCATTACGTTGTTTATGACGGAGAACTGTTGCTGTACGTAGCGTTAGGTTTTGTGCTACTTTTCACAAACAAACGATTAAGCATTAGTTTCGCTCCCAATGTGCATATTGTGGGACATAAAGGAGAATATAATGGCCCTGCAGCACTATTAAGGTAATAACGGCTTTATGTCTGTATTGTATTGTTGACTGTAATAATAGTGCTAATAGCAGCCTCTTATTGCTAGCTAGCATGCTAATGTTCCATATATATATAAACAGAGCCTAATGTAAATACAGAGGTGTAAAGTAACTAAGTAACTCAAGTACTGTACTTAAGTATAATGGTGAGATACTAGTACTTTACTTTAGAAGTTCCAGTACTTCTACTCCACTACAGTTCAGAGGTAAATAAATGGTGTACTTTTACTCCACTGCATGTATTTAATACCTTCAGTTACTTTAAAGATGTGGATGAATGATGTGTAATATAATCAAGTGTTAAATCAGACTTTAGTTCCACCTGGAGTAAATCCACAAGCTACCCTGCAGTATACAAAGTCATTCAAACTAGCTGCACCTTTACCAGCTTTGAGAACACTTTCATGATCAATCATTATAAAACATATCATATATATTATTCTGAAATGGACCAATCTGCACAATGACTACTTTTACTGTCGCTACTTTCACTATATTTTGATGAGAATACTTTTCTACTTTCACTTGAGGAACATTTTGAATGCAGGACTTTTACTGTAACAGAGTATTCCTACACTCTGGTACTTCTACTTTTACTCAAGTACAAGATCTGAGTACTTCTACTTTTACTCAAGTACAAGATCTGAGTACTTCTACTTTTACTCAAGTACAAGATCTGAGTACTTCTACTTTTACTCAAGTACAAGATCTGAGTACTTCTACTTTTACTCAAGTACAAGATCTGAGTACTTCTACTTTTACTCAAGTACAAGATCTGAGCACTTCTACTTTTACTCAAGTACAATATATACTTATACCACCTCTGTTTATAGCCTATGAAAAAAACTTTTAGAAATAGAAGGCTAAAGCTAACGTTAGCCTGTCTGTCTGTGTGTCTGTCTGTCTGTCTGTCTGTCTGTC